GATGTCTTTTGGTGTAACAATTGAAGTTACTCCTAGGATGGGTAACCATTTGAAAAGCTACACCAAGGCACCACAATGCTTAAGACTTTGGCTTTAATCTACTTAAGAGGGTTCACAATTTTCCCCACATAAGTAAATGAAATCATCATCAGTGCTCATACCCAGAATCATCCACCAGGCAGATGTGATTCTAAAGGTAGCCCCTACAAATTCAAAAGGTGTCTCCCACCATGTAGTACTTTATCTCATCCAATGTTTAAGAGGTGGCTTCCATGGCATAGCTCTTTGTTATGTATGTCACGTAGTTCATATCTTCTGGATGATGTATAGCTCTGATACTATTTGTCACAGGCCAAACTCTCACCCATGAGGGTATTGTCCTCTTTAGTCTAGTAGCCTCAGAATTTTGCCTTTTTTGTGTAACTTACCAGGATGTCACACATCCTAGGAGTGCTTCAATGAGAAAAAACCTAACTTTAATTTAAAGTTTCTAATGAAATTTCATCGTTTCCCCAAAATCTGCTTCAATATTTAAGAGTTCAACTTCATTCTACTTAAGAGGTTTCAAAAGTTTCACTTGTTAACTCCTTAAGAATAACTCAGGAGTCATCTACTGAGTCGAGTTTGACTCAACTCATGAACTAATTTGACTCAATTACATGTCTAGAAGTGAGATTCAATGTATTTAGTTGATTAATCTACTAATTAAAGCTTTTGTTTCTCTTCATGTCGGTGCAAGCACAATAGCCAAAGTTATAAGGTTTTATCTAATTATAGCATAGTCTACACATTATTATAGCCAATTTAATTAAACAGGCAATCTCTCTCATGCTAATCATGATGATTATAAGGTTTTATCTAATTTTCTCAATCTTTTACCAACCTTCCTTTAGCACAAACAAATCTTAGTGGAGTACAAAGGCACATGCCACAATGGTAATCTTTATTGATGAGATATGGCATGAATCATGTGTTTATTATATTTATTTAACTTTGTTTTGAAATTTGATTTATAATAATTTAAGTTTTATCATACAAGTTTTTTAGATAAGAATGGAAAGTTGGAAAAATTAATTTAAAATATCTTACTTTCCATAGTTGAATTTGATCCCAAAGCACTATAAATAAAGTATGATATGAAATACATAAAATATTATGTCAATTTGTGCAATTGGTAAAAATTTACAAGATATTTAATGTTTGGGATATTTTTTTTTTTTTGAATTTTTTATGATATGATACATTTCTTTAGGATGATTTACATACATAACGCTCAATTCTTATGTATTTATATTTTTAACACCTAAACTTCAATTTTTACATATATATGTCCACCTTAACTATATATATGAAAAGGTGCATATCAATACTTAAAAGTTAAAATAATGGTATTTATTATGTGATATGAAATATTTTGCGGGTTTAAATGTAAAAAAGTAAAGTTTAGCTTCTTGATATGTAAATATATAAGAATTGATTGGTATGAATGTAAATGCCCCCTTCTTATTTAAGTGTGCAATTCCTCACAAAACTTTATTAATTTTACTGAAACTATATAGAACTTGGTTGATTTTTCAATTTTGTTGAACTGCTAAAATTGAATTTTATTTTATTAAGGTTATGAAGGATTTGATGAAATTAACTTTGACACCATACAAGCTTTAATTGTGGAGAAATTATATTCAATACAACAAATTCAAAAAATTAAAAAAAAAAGGATTCTACAACTATATTGACAATAAAGAATTACTCCATTGGAAATTTGGAATTGCGAGCTTCGAAATTATACATCCGCTCGAAAAATATACATTAAAAAAGCCTATATTTTTTGTGTAATAGTTTGAATCATACGATTTTAAGGAGTTAAAATTATCTCAATTGTTATGAGTTGTTCAAATTACAATTCTATATCATGATGTGTAGGTTTCTAATTTTTTGTAATTATCCAATATCATAATCTTACTACGAAAAAAATGAACATGCTTAACATAAAGAAAGGAGTCAGAAAGAGAAGAATTTAAGGATTTAACGTGTCTATTATAAGTACATACTATCTGACTTGCGTAGAACAGAATATGTGAATCTTCAGAACTCTTTCTCTGGCACCTTATTTAAAAGTTTAGGTCAAAGTTAAAAGCCATAGGAATAAATTTGAGTAATACAAGTAAACTACTTATTGATATCAAATCAATATTTACTGTAAAAATGTGAAGTACTTCTAGTTTATTCTCTGAGGAAGATTATTAAACAAGCAAGGGATATAAGAAAATGACATTACCTAAGTTAGAATAAGACTAGATAAAGTCAAGATGTAATGATTGTTGAAGAAAGAAAGCTATCATCAGAGTTTGAACTAGTCTTATTTGAAAGAAAATGTAGTTTGGGAATTTAGCATTCTCTAATGCACTCAGATTGAAGTACTTACCAATTCACTACTCTAAAAAATTAAGTTTAACATTCCATCTTCACAAAAATCTCAAGATTTTATATTACTAAGCTTGATTTAAATTATAAAAGCTCAAAAAAAAGGAGCATATATGGATGAGAAAGCAATGACATAAAAAGAACAAAGGGTGCAATGTGAGCAAGTACAACAAAAGCATGATGATGAAAGAAGCCTAATGTATATGCAAAATATGTGGAAGTGCTTAAGCATTACATTCACATCATTTTGCTCAATCAAGGATAGGCATTCTAGTAAGTCCACTTTTCCAATTAAGTATGTTTTCCAAGTGAGCTTAAATGTTACATGTACAATATAATAAGAATTTTTGGGATATATTTTAGGAGACTGAATGATAACTAAATCTTAAAAGCTTATACAAATTGAGTGTCTTAACGAGAGAAATCCAATAAACCCACTAACAGTTAATTCTACCATCATTAAGGTGTTCAAATATTCATAAAATATCATCCGAACAAAGGAATCGTAAGATGTTGGGCCACTGCGATCGTTGAACCTCCATTGCCCGGCTGTCACCATTGTTGAATTACCACTGTTGTTGTCAGACCTCTGTTGTTTAGCTATTGCTACTACTGCCATCCGACCACTATTGCTTAGTCGCCACCGTCGTCAGCATTACCGTCTGCAATGCTTAATTCATATCTTTATACACATCCCATATTGTTAGCATTACATTGTTCTTTTCGGGTCATCATCATTTTCTCAATATTTTCCATCGCTTATCTAGTGAAATTCAAGATAATAGCTCAAACCATTTCTATAGTATTTTCTCATGGTTAAGGGAGTATAAAACCTTGTAACATTTGAATAGTGAAATAATTTCAACCAAATTAGGCCCCGTGATTTTTTTTTTCTTTTGGGTATTCCACGTAAAGAGACAATACTTTGTTTTATCTATTGATGTGTTAGATTTCCATACAATGCTAAAATGTTAGTATATAATTCTACCAAAGCACACAATCATAATTTGTTTATTTTTAAAATTTATTTCAGCTGGTAAGTTTTTAAGATTTACCAATCATATATTTAAGTGAGTTATTACATTCTTCTGCTATTTCTTCTTAGGAAAATTTACATACATACCATATAATTCTTACGTATTTACATATCTAACATCTATAATGTCTTGCTGTTATAAATATATGCATGAAAAAGTGTATTTTACCTTTTTTTTAAATAAAGATAATTATATTTTTTATGTGATGTAAGAAAATTGAGTGATATATATGCATGTAATTATAAATGTAAGGGTTTTGGATATGTACGTAAGGATTGTGCGGTATATACATAAATGCCACTTATTATTATTATAAATCACGTCACGTGGAGATGACAGAAAAATAAAAAAAAATTATTTTTTACAAAGGAATATTTCTGTGTTATTCTGCGTTATTCAGGTGTTATTGTGGTGATATTCATGTATTATTGTGTTCTGGAATATTTCCGGTGTTATAATAACACAATAACACATCAATACCACCACAATAACACCTGAATAACGCGAAATAACATAGGAGGAATACTTCCCTGTGTTACCGGGTCGGATCACAAGAAAACGAGTATTTTTTATTTTTTTATTTTTTTTTTATTTTATTTTATTTTATTTTTTTTTTTTCCGTCAGCTCCACGTGGACGTGGAGCTGATTCACTGGACTCCGGACGTAATAATTTTTCCAAAGTAAGATCACCCAACATCCAACTAATCTAATTCTTTTGCTTTCTGACGATAGGTTAAGCATATCACTGTATATTTAATTATCAATAATTTATTAATTTTAAACTTTATGTGTGGACAATTACTTCGCTTTACCGGCATTTAGATGTGGAGGAGATGGAACCTTTTTAACAATTTTTTAACTTCTAATTTAGTCTATTTTCGAATTTGTGCTAACCTTATTTTTTTAATTAATAATACATTTTGAATAGATTATCATCCTTATAAAAAAATACAGAGTGAGCTTATCAAGCTTCTAGCACACCCTAAGTTGGTAATATTTGGATGCATAATTCCTCCATTAAAAAATCATAATAAAATTATTAATACGTATTTGAAACGAACAATCATGCTCCTAGACGAAGAAGATCATCTTTCAATGATCTTAAGTCGACCGACAATAATCGTGATTATTTATGAGCGCTTCGGCATGTTCCTAACATTTAAAAAGGATTTCATGCAACCATAACATCATAGAAGAGCTTACAAGTGCATTGTTATTCTATCAATATTTAACCATTATTAATACCCTATTAAATATGGTTCCATTCTTTTTATCTTAAGCATTGCTTTACTTGTATCACATTTTAAATGTTCTTATATTTGCAACGCAAGAATCCCACTTAAGAAATGGCTTTTGCGAAAAGCAAATAATAATTGTTGGTTTTGTTGGAAAGATGTAGTCACTATCATCTCTAGAGGTGGTAGAGTGGAAGAAGAGTGTAACACACCATCGTAATTATTTTGTTGACCAAGTCAACAAAAGTTGCTTGCCACCACTACTATATATTCTTCAACTCTTCGTTGCTTCCTTGAGAGAGAGAGAGAGAGAGAGGAAAAGTAAATGGAGAGAGGAAGAACTGTCAAGGACATTGAAGAAGGTGATCATGAAAGAAAAGGTAATCATAAATATATCATTGAGCAGAAATCAGATATAGTTTGGTTCTGAATCTAGTTGTACTTGTAGGAACGTTGTGGTCAGCCTCAGCTCACATTGTGGCCGCGGTGATTGGCTCTGGTGTGTTGGCACTGGCATGGAGCATGGCTCAATTGGGTTGGGTTCTTGGGCCATTGATTATCTCTGGGTTTGCCATCATCACCTACTACACTTCCACGCTCCTGGCCGACTGCTACCGTCATCCTGACCCAATCACCGGGACAGTCAATCGAGTCTACATCGATGCGGTTCGAGCCTACCTCGGCCCGAGAGAGGTCTTCTTTTGTGGATGTGCTCAGTATATCAATCTCTGGGGTACTCTTGTAGGTTATACCGTTACTGCTGCCATTAGCATGATGTCGGTACAATCTATTTTGCATACATATTTCATGAATTTTAGTTCCATTATAGTATATAAGAAGAGAGCGTGAGAAAAAATATATATATATATATCATCCCTTGATGATCAACTGACAGGGGCGGTCCAACGATCAAATTGCTTCCATCGTAATGGACACGATTCAAAGTGTGAGTCTTCGGGCAACTTGTTCATGATTTTATTCGGGGTAGTTCAAATTGTCCTATCACAATTCCCCAGCCTAGAGAACATCACATGGTTGTCAGTGGTGGCCGTGGCAACATCGTTCGCATACTCTTTCATCGGGCTCGGGTTATCAATGAGCAAATTGATCTCTCATAGGGGGTTCAAAGGTACTCTATCGGGCATCGCTGGGTCTTCGCACACCGCCAAGACATGGAACGTTTTCTTAGCATTTGGAAATGTGGCATTTGCATACACATTTGCAGATGTCTTGATTGAGATTCAAGTAATTATGCCTCTGATCAAGAATGTGTGGTTGGTTTCCAATTGAAATGAGATGTTAATTAACTCCAAATTATTGCTGTATTTTAGGACACATTGAAGTCACCACCTCCTGAGACAAAGACAATGAAGAGGGCAAGTTTTGTGGGAATTGGGCTAACAACAATATTCTATCTCTCACTGGGTTGCATTGGGTATGCAGCTTTTGGGAACAAGGCGCCTGGCAATATTCTCACTGGATTTGGATTTTATGAGCCATTTTGGCTGGTAGATATTGCCAATATCTGCATTGTTGTGCATCTTTTGGGAGCTTATCAGGTGAGAAAATTATTAATGTGATGTGATTTTATTTATTTTATTTATGGATAAATTTCAATACAAAGTTATGAATTAATTACATTTGGGGTAATAAATAGGGAAAGCTTGGGATAAGGTTTTCAAAATTCAAGAGTATGAGATATTTTTCTTTAATTGGTAGGTATTACAATAGACATGTCATTACTGTAAATTAAGCTTAAGATGGTGATGGTGCATCTGAAGTGATTCATTTGACAGCAAACTTATGTCTCATTTCATAGGCAATGTGTAAAATTACTTTTAATTATAGGAAAAAAGTATATCATGATATTATGCAGTAGTATTTGTTGTTATAACATAGTAAATCATTAAAATTGAAATAAAAAAATTCAAATGTAGAGAGTATTTAAACAGTAACAGAAAATAACATAACCAATCATTTCAAAGTATGCACCCATTTGTCTTTCTATTTAAATATTATTTACCTTCTACATCAGATATATCTTCTTAGCCAAATAAAAAATATATATAACAATGTATTATAATATTTAAAAGAGGGCGACCAATCACATTGTATTTCTACTAACATGCTTTTAACCATCGAGTTTTGAACTAAACCTCTCCAAACTAAATATAGTATGTGTTTTTCTTTAGCAAGAATGTCTTGATCAATCTTAATAAGAAATTGTTGGGCAGGTATACGCTCAACCACTCTTTGGTCGTTTCGAAAACACGATATCAAAACGATGGCCAGAAGCAAAATTCCTCCACAAAACCTACTCAATAAGAGTGCCTTTTGGTGCAACTGGGCCTTTAAGTTTCACCCTTTCCAAGCTGGTTCTTCGCTCGTGCCTCATATTGTTCACAACACTAGTGGCAATGCTCGTCCCCTTCTTCAATGCGGTTCTCGGCCTCCTAGGTGCCCTTGGCTTCTGGCCTCTCACAGTCTATTTCCCTGTTAATATGCACATTGCACAGAGAAACATCAAGAGGGGAAACCCTAAATGGATTCTTCTTCAAGGCCTCAGCATGTTTTGTCTCCTAATTTCCATAGCTACAAGCATTGGTTCTATGGCTGACATCATAAGCAGCCTCAAAATGGCAGCTCCTTTCAAGTTGAATTATTAAAATCAAGTTTCTCTCTTTGTATGTAGATTGGTGGTTGAAGAGAATATTAAATTATTATGTATTTGATTTCCGAGAAGTATGATTGATTCTTGGATAGAAGAGATTGATATGAATTGAGCTCGAATTAAAATAATGGCCAACTAATGAGCTATATATGCTGAATTTGAATTGATTTTAAACAAAATGCAATCATCTTGGCTTAATACTTGATAGTTACGTATATTAATGCTCAATCGGGCTAGAATAAGAGATGAACTTGGGCTAAGTTGGCCCCTAATTAAGAAGCAACCAATAAAATCAGCAACCGCTTTCAACCATTTTTTAAATTCTCACACAAATTTCAAAATTTAAAATGCTAACACTTTTTTTTTTATCACATTCCCAATGGTTTGATCATGACATATGTAAATGCAACAATTATATAGTTTAAAAATCACCTCCATGCTAGTTTTGTAATTAATAATGTTTCAATTATGTATGTAATTATCCCTATTTAGTTGTATTAAACTGAATCTTAAATAAAAATAAGCAAAATATAATTCAGAATACTATATATACATAAAAGGTGTGCGTAGATGTGAATATATATAGATAGATATATTCACATCAAAAGATGTGACAATTATCAGTCATCATAAGCAAGATAGCCTAGTGCAAACAAGGCGAAGATCACTAAAAGAACAAAGTGACATGCCACAAAGACAGGAGAAGTGAATATGGAGACTGACTCGAAAGACAAGACCATAAAAATTCAGTATTTAGCCAAAATCGTTATGCTGCTTGAAAATTCAAAATTGTTTCGCATTTATCAACTCCCGACTCATTTAACAGGAGAAATAAATTTTTCTATGGTGGGTGCCATTAATAGACTAAACAATATGCTCCAGAACATATAGGATTTTTTAAATCCCAATCATTTTATTTCTTCCACTTAGCATAATATTGCTTTTAAGAGTTCACAACTCCGCCATAGAACTCTTTGGTCATTTGGATCGAAATTAATGAAGGGAGATTGAAGTTGTGAATATGACCATCTCATGACCACAATGAATGAGAAACCCTTTTCAAACATCTCATAATTACAATGAAATCATCAGGAAGATCAATAGTTCATATGTAAACTTCGCAGACTTTCAGAATGACTTTTTATTTTGCATGAAGCGTGCACAATTAATGTTTATTTTCATATTTTCACCATCACACTATTTATTCACTGTTTTTCTAATAACAACAAGCCATTATCCCACTAAGCGGGATCAGCTACATGAATGATTTTTTATTCATTGTGTCCTATTGAGTCACATAATTGCCTTTAATTCTAATAAACTAAGATCATTTTTTTACAACATGCCCAAGTTTTTTAGGTCTACCTTTACGTTTCTTAAAATAAGTCGAATCTAAAACATCTACTTTCCTAACTGAATCATCAGAGGCTCTGTAATCTTGCCTATCACTGGAGCTACACTAACCCTTTCACAGATACATTTATTTCACATTTTATCTCTAAGTATCAAGCCACTCGTCCACCTAAGCATTCTCATCTCAGGAACAACACAATTTATTCGTTGTTTTTTTCCGAAAAAAAAAAATGTGAAAAGCGGAAATCATACTCAAGCCAAAAGGGTAATTGGAGATTACATTAGTTTCTTTTTTCATTTTTGGTTTATTTTTATAAATGTTTCTTTAATATATTATTATCTATTTTTTTAAAACTATATCAACTAGTTTTTATAAACACTCAAAATAACTTTTAATGTTTCCAAAAACAACTAAACAAGCATAAACAAAATAAAATTAAGCAAATAAAAATAAAAATAAAAAGTTAAGATAAAAAGAAAATTCAAATGGCGCAAAAAATTTTCAAGCCTATTTTTACAATCTGGATCATGTTATTTGACATCAAGTATGCCTGGTAAGTGCTTGATCAATAATCAAAAATAGATTAAAGCTTTTCACTTTTTAAACCAAAACAAAGCACGGGAAGTTATATACAAAAAGCACAATACAAAATGTATGTTCAGCCACTACTTCCCTCTCTTTTTTGACTAATTATTATCTATATTTACACAAAATTAAGTGCTCCACAACAAAAAATAACCACCTTATTAGTCTGATCCAGATATTAAACATGTAGGATAAACACAAAAAATCTCTTCAGCATTATAAAAAATTACCTTCTGAGGTGCGCATTGGATATCTCCTTCGTACCATTCTATATGGAGAATTCAGTAGATCTGCCGAGTGGAAGAATAAGGTCTCTCAGATTCTCATATTCCTCATAGCTAATTTGAGCAGCATTAAGCATCTGATAATAACATACGTCAGGAAAGCTTAGTCAACAAATACATCACAAAATAGCAAGCTTTCTCAGAAAATTTCAAGCAAAAAAAAAAAAAGAATGACATGCAGAGGCCAAACTATTCAATGTGGCTATAATCAATCGAAAGGGTGGCTAAGGCTACGAGTCCATCTAAGATGTGAGTTTATTAGTTTTAAATTGAAATAGTGTGATTGTTAGGTCTATAAACCAATTAAAGCAAAAGTGTGAGTGCTGCATTCTTAACCAGTCTATATATTTATCTGTGTGTGTGTGTGTGTGTGTGTGTGTGTGTGTTAACGTATCCTTCAGAGATTAATTAGCTATAATTTTGTAAGAAGATAAGATTGTTTGGGCATCGGGGTAAAATGTTGTTGCTGGTTCGAAGATCAGGTTAGATGAATTAAAGATTGATATTAGATTCAGTATTAATCATAAAACAAAGACAAAAATTCATGAATAAAATTTCACCTTCTATTAGTTCTGAGAACCCCAAATAAAATGCCACCATTTAATCCAAGGGAAATTTAAATATTACATACACACCACACAATTCTTATATTTTTACATATCCAACGCCTAAACTTTCATAACTACATGCATAACATAAGAATTTTTAACATCACATAAAAAATATCATTATTACTAACTTCTTAAAAGTGACATACACTTTTAGTTGCATTCATTTATAACACCAAAGTGTTATAAAAGTATAAATTAAACTTTAGGAGTTAGGCATGTAAAAGCATAAGAGTTGTGTGGTATGTATGTAAATTTACCTTAATCCAATTATGCTAATAAGGGTTTGCTGGTTTGTCACCCTTATGTGACGTGACTAACATTTAGCCCGGTTTTAGTAAGCAGTTATAATTTAAATGTGCTTACTTCTAATACAGATTCAAGGAAAATATGAAAAACTAAAATGAAAAGAATGAATATAGAACATATGCTTGAAGAGAAGAGGATAAGTATTGAATATAACTTGGATGGATATAGATAGGTCTTTGGGAATGAAATGAATGAACGCTCGGAAGTTCAAACAAAGATCAACCAAAATAGATCAGCTGAAGAGAGGGGATTTGTAAAGAAAGTGCAAGTTAGAAGGTTTTTGGTTTCCTGAAATGTTTCATGCCTTCATGGTCAGAAGAATAGCATTAGCTTCTCATTAAGGCTTTAGATTGCTAGAGAAGGATTCTTCTGCTTATAAGGGGGAGAAAAAAGACATTTTAAGATTGGGACATTTACATATACAAGCTAACCAATTCTCATGGAATAACATATAACACCTCAACTTTGCCTTTCACATTTTATACCACTCAAATATTTGATATTACATCTAAAATACCACTATTTTAACTTTTGAAAATGTGCCTTTTCATACATAGATAAGATGGCATATATGTAAAAATTGAAGTTGACGTCATAGATATGTAAATGCATATGAAGTGAGTAGTATGCATGTAAATCTTCCTTTAAGATTATATCAGGCACACCTACGCAAAGAAAGAGATCAATGCCTAGATTTCTTCCCGCAAAAAAAAAAAAAAATGCTTTTCTTTGTTTAGAAAAAAGGTGATGCTAAAACCCAACCTTTTGGAATTCTTCATTTTGGTTCCCAAATGATGTGTTGCATGTTCAAACACTAAAAAGATGTTTTGCTAAAATTTCTACTTTAGAAATGAACATGAATATATTAATGCTTCATAAGTCTGATTACAAAACAAGGTGGGTAAAATCACTACATGTGAGTGAAACGTTAAGTTCTTGAATGCTTGAGGAGCGAACGAGTCATCTACTTCACTATGAGCCTGATAGACTCAAGCTGGCTCTCTTATAATAGATGGAATCTAGCTCAAGTTAGGCCAAAAATGAATACTTTTATATCTATCAAATCTACTTGGTTGTGTTCTACAATGGGTCTTGTAGGGTTAAGTTCAACAATCACAGAGGTGGGTGAGAAGTTATGCGGGCGAGTCATCCGGATCCGCCGAGTCAAAAATATTGAAGTCTAAGTTGTTTGACTCTAGTTTTTCAGTGATTGATCCTACATCTAATGTCCGCTAGTTAAACCAGAACAACCATTTATTACCACCCTGATACTTCGATGAGCATATCTACAGCTCACATTAGTTATCCCTTATTTTGAATTCGATTTGTATTAAAATAACATTCAATGTCAAATTATTCTTTTTTTATTGATCTCCATTACAAGTATGTCAGTTTGTTTCTTTTGACAAAATAAGCAGTTCCATCAAGTTTATAACCCACCCTTAAGAGGGCAGAAAAAGGAAGCTTGTTAAGACTTAGGATCCGGTAGCGTTTTGAAAACGCGACAGGGTCTGTTTGGGTAAACTGCATTTTGGCAGCTTATGCGTTTTTAAAATGCTGAAAATAGCATTTTCACATGCGATGACAGCTTTCTAGTTGTGGTCTGGCTTTTCCAAAAAATAAAAATTTGTAATAGCCACCGCACCTAGCTTATCAGCAGATTATTCAATAAACTGCAGCTGCCCCAAAAGCTATAAACTGCAGCTGCCCCAAACAGACTCTTACTTTGTTACTCCATATTCTACATCAACTCAATCGTTCAATTCACCATCAAGTCTAAGGGACCGTTTGAGATAACTTATTTGGTGCGGTGGTGTTTTGAAAACACACCTGACCTGTTGGCAGCTTATGCGTTTTCAAAATACTGAAAACAGTATTTTCACACCGCACCTATCTAGGTGCAGTGGCAGTGTTTTTTCAACTTGACAACGGTTTGACTTTTCCAAAAAAATAAATATTTGTAATAGCCACCGCACCTAGCTTATCAGTAGATTATCCAATCAGCTGCAGCTGCCCCAAACAGACCCTAAGTAACAACTTCAATTGCATCATCATTAGTATCAATGATTGTTTTTTTCGGCAGCTCGGAGTGTTGCGTCTATGAAAGCTATGGATGAGTGACTACTGAGGCCATCAAGGCCGTTAGGTTTTGGTTTCTTCAGCTCTTGATGGGAAGGAAAGTAGAGTTGCAATTTCTTAGCAAAGCTTACCTCCATAACAACTATGGGCACCCATAAAGCAACATGCAATAAAGTGTTTGCCACCTAATTTTGCTTCTACTTGCATATATTGGATGGCAGGTCAATTCATGCTTAACTATCAAGACCTTTACATGTTCAACAACTCCATACATTTAAACTTCATCTTTTCCCAAAAACAAAAAAAAAATCAACATAACTGCCATACACATGGATTCCATCTCCAATATTGATATTAATATAAAATTACCTAAAGCCCAAAGAACAGCGTTGGAAACTCCATATATATTAAATAGAGTAAAATAGTGAGTATCATAGTGCATAGTAAAGTGCAGTGCTTTCATGTGTTACTTTTTTAGCATGGTGCATAAAAGTAAAATAGTATATTGTATGCGCGAATACAGAACACACATAGCGTGTACAATTTTATCGACGTGTAAGTATTCTTTTTGATCCATTATTTGGAATTTGATACAATTTCTAGCAAAACAAAATAAAAAAGAAGAGTGAACACAATAAATATCGCAATCACAAGACAAATTTATATGCTTCAATGATATTTATCAACATTCACGGCCACACATCAAATATTTCTTCTCATACAAAATAGATATATTGTTTTATTTATGTCAAAGACTGAGAGAAAACACAAACACCTGCTGTAAAAATAGGGGATGAAAATATACATGTTGTTGTTGCTATCAATGTCTTCCAAACTTATCCAAGGGATCTTTTTCCACTCTTCTATCCTCTATTGCACGAGCTTGTCTCTACTATAATTGAAAACATAAGCTCTCTCTCTCTCTCTCTCTCTCTCTCTCTCTCTCTCTCTCTCTCTCTCTCTCTCTCTCTCTCTCTCTCTCTCTCTCTCTCTCTCTCTCTCTCTCTCTCTCTCTCTCTCTCTCTCTCTCTCTCTCTCTCTCTCATTTTTTGCTTGTAGTTATGGAATGCTTCAACACAATGCTATTATCTCTTTATAAGAGCTTATAGGTGGTTGGTAACAAAATTGAATTTATTAGATAGATGTTGGTGAGTATCAAAATATAGATATTAAATAGAGAATGGTATGTAAGAAATTTATGTTCATGTTTTAGTAATCTACCAATTAAACATAAAAATTTTTATATACATAATTAGTGGATCGTGTCTAAGTACTCTCTATATGACAGTTTCATATCCTCATTCATGAAGACTAAATATAACCATAAATAATCCAAATATTTATTGAATTTATTAGGTAGATGTTGGTGAGTATCCAAATATAGATATTAAATAGAAACTGGTATAAGAAACTTATGTTCGTGTTTTAGTAATCTCCCACTTATAGATTAAAAAATTTTATATAAATAATTAGCAGATTGCGTCTAAACAACCTTTGTATGGCAGTTTCATATCCTTATTCATGGAGATGAATTATAACTATACATAATCCAAACTTTTTGTTGGGTGCCAATTGTAAGCATATAGGTGGGATTTTTTACTCCTTTAATTTTGTCAAGTTGTAAGCTATCATATTCAAGCAACCAATGTATGAAGTAGTACTTCAGTAGTATATATTTTTTTTCCAAGAGTGCAAGACAACATTCTCTGCAAAGTAAATGGTACTTTAAACTGTTAAAAAATAAAGAAACATCTTGTGATCGATTCAATTCTTCACTTTTTCTAAGATGCCATGAGCTAAATCATCTCTTTGGTGGCTTTGTTGACTATTATGTAGTCATCTTCTATTGTTAATAATACTGCTATATTCTATAACTTGGCTGCTTAATTGATCTTGACTCCACTTGAGGAGTAAATGCAACAAGAAGCGCACTACATGTATTTGCGTCCTCCAAGATATGCACCAATATATCCCAATAATTTAAAATTAGCCCGTATAAATTTTAATGAAGAATGTACCTTTTAAGAGTCATAGAATTACATATAACAACCTCCTAATACTCTTTTCCTGAATTTAATATATACCAATTAATATCTCGTACAATATAAGTCTTGTGCAAGCCATTGCATGCATCAAAGAGCCAACCGGTGATACATAAAATGCACTCACAAATATTATATAATATTACTTCTATATGTTGATGACTATATTTATTGCAAAGTCCAATATCATTAAAACCAACCTAAAAGGATATTTATTAAAAGAATTGAAAATGAAGAGCCTGAAACAAGATAAGAAGTTTCTTGGAATGCAAATATATCAAGACAAAGTGATAGAGTTTTTTAGCATACCATAATCCCAATAAATTTAAAAGGTGCGCAACACGTTCAATATGATGAAAAAAAAAAATGGAGGGCATGCCACTTCGGACACGCTTCAAGCCTTCAAAAGCGCAATTAACAAAGAATAAGGAAGATGTATATGGCAAAAGTCCCTCATTATCAGCTGTCAGGATAATGATGAAGATTTGAGCAAAATCAAATGAAAATGAATAATGAACACACCAAAGACCAAAATCACAACACATACAAGTTTACATAGTTCGACGGATTTATCCACCTTTACAAAGAAAACAAATATTTTACGAAGCTTTAAAAAGTGAGCACATAAAAGATTTTTCATATAAGTTGAAGAATAGAGAAACTACTTTTTTAATGCCAAACAAAAGGGGAAATACAACCATTTACTATTACAATGTTAGTTAAATAAGGGAAAGACAACATTGCCGATGCTACAATTATCCTTCCCTAATCGGTTGCAAAAGCTTATTTCCACTCTTATCTCTGCTACATAAATTTCACGTTACTGTGGCTGGAGCTTAACTCCTTTATCTCCCTCTTTCTATTTGTTTGTGGTTATAGGATGCTTCAACACAATGGAACCATCTCCCTTATATAATGTAATTGTTGCTAGCTAGCAAACTTAAATTTATTTCAGTACATGATGGTAAAGTGTTATAATATAAATGTTAGATAAATGATGATTGATAACATAATTATAAGAGGCAATTAAAATGTGATAGGCAAGAAACCTATACAATATGGATAAAAAAAAATTATCTTCATATTTTAACATCCATCAAGTAATTATATTTCCATTATTCTTCCAATTATTTTCATGTATTTTATTTTCATTTGTCTTAATTTTTTTTGACTTAATGATTAGCTTTGCTTAATCTAATTTTATCGATTGCTAACACTATCGTGTATGAAAATGTTATTTCAGGCTTATTTGATACTTGTTATTAATAATATTCAATTTATAGAATTATCATATCAATGCAAGCTATATTGTTGTACATTAGCAAGCAAACTTCTCAAAAAGATTTAGCAATGTTATCAGTTAAGTTAAAATATTTTAATGAGATATTATGCTCTATTTTACGACACTAGAAATTTTTTTTGTAATTATATATTTTTTCTTTTATATTATTGAATAACTAATAAATTATTCATGATTTTTTAACAAGTTCACTCTTTGTAAAAGAATGTGTCACATTATGGCTCCATGGAATATTTCAGCTATGATGCATTATTCACTACTAACAAGTATGGGCAATGTCAGCTTGAAAAAACTTTTTTCTATGAAGACTTCTTATGAATAAGGTGATGCGACCAATAGCATCGCCAAGTTAGTTCCATTATTTGAGGTATGTTCAGTTCAGTCACACATTGTCTTCCCTTAACTATCTAGTCAAGAAGATGCAGATAATAATGATTAACCGAAAACCATTGTCAATAGATTTGCATGTAAGGATGGAAGTTAGAAAGCAAAGGTGGGAAGTCTAAGGGATGACTCTGCAAATATTCATATTTCTTGATTTAATTATAATTAAGACATTACAATATGTTCATAGCTTGAAAAACTACCATCTTTGCTCCAAAAAATACATTTAGGGTGTCACGATAATATTGACGCAAGACTCAATCAACAATCATTTGTCCATCTCATGCTAGTATAAGATTTAGTGCTCTCGGTCCTCCAATCAATGTCACCAAGGAATTACCATGCTAATCACGTTTCCATATTTGAGTCCAACACCTATCAGTTGCATAAAATGTGTTGTTTGTTAACTGGCTTGGTTGCAAACTAGAGGTCACAGTGCCACTTTAAGCAAGAGCTAAAAGATGATTTTGATTGCAACCACTCACAATGATATGCTTTTAATTCATTTATAAAAGGCTAAGCATCATAATTAAAAAAAAAAAAAGATAGATGACCTTGATTGTGGTCTCATGTCTCATGTTCTCCTACTCTAAACCAACACCACAATGGCTCTCAAAGTGAGCATTGTGATTGTCCTGAAGCATTCAGAGGTAAGAGCGAGATTAGAATTTAACATTTTCATGAGCATAACTCAATTTTTAGGTTTAACCTTTTATAGCTTTTATTATCATTGCCAAAATGTAGCTAATAGTTACATTCAAATAAGAATAAAAATGAAATCTACTTTTTTTTCTTTCAGATAAACCTACAGTATTCTTTTTTTCTATTATTTGATATTTATTTTAGCTTAATTACCTGCAGCATATACCCTTTATCATTGGTTCTGTGGTTTCCCTAGTCCTTGAGCCTGGTTCTCAATCAAGCATTGAGATTGAGTCATCACTAATCAAGGACCAGACTAATAGGAAAATTAAAGAGATTGTCGATCAGATCAACGGATTATTAAATCAAAAGGAACATACGTCGATCCAAATCACATTCAATTGAATGCATTTCATGCCTAGAATACAGTTATACCAAAAGATAAAAGCACTACAATATGCAAATTTACTTGCACGGAATAATAAAACAAGTAAATGTTCAACAGGAATGATTAGAGTATTCATATTTCATATAATCTGATCCAAATAGTGGGGGCAAGGCTCATGATCACAATGATCACATTCCTCAAGTCAAACCACAATATATTTATGATCATGGGTAATGTGATCTTGAAATTACAAATAATACTTCGTCAGCATTCATTTCAAAAGTTCAACTCCTCCTCTTGTGCAAAACATAAGCAACTGCCTTCTAAACAAGAGAAACAAATAGATAAAAGACTTATTGATATGGAAGTTTAAGTTTTCTCAATAGAATGTCTAAATACAGCAAACAAAACAAATCTAGAATGTTCAGAAAGGCAAAAGCTCAAGCACAGGAAATCTCCTTTATATCACTGCTTTGGGATGTTATTTCAAAATAGTAATATACAAGTAGTAAAAAATGCATGGTATTCACCTGTTGAAGCTGCATACCCCTGCTCATGAAGTGCGGAGCCAGACCCAGAAGTCTATGAACGGAAAGGGCTTCAATAAACAAGAGGACAACGACATGCCATTGTCTGGTTTTGAAGGAAGGTATTGCGTCCATAAAGGACATAGTGTCAAGCAAGTAGCCCTGAAAACAAATAGCTCCATTAAAATTTCCAAAAAAATACTAGCACATTTCAGACGAGGAACTAGACCCGATAAATATATACTCTTCCAACTTACCTTTATTCTTATTTATTGCTACAATAAAATGCCTGTCAACATTCAAGTCACAGTTCCTATGCATCCCTTTCAACTTATGCAAATAGAAAAGAAAAAATGTCACCGTATCAATATAATTGTAGGATTTTGCCTTATACAAGCTTCCCCAACAATAGTCAATTATTATTAATTTCCAGCCATTATAAGCATTCCTCATGGGAAATTGCTCTACATTTGCTATATGTTCATAGGCTACAAGAATAGACAACAAAGAACACCAAAAAACAGGCATTCCCTTTTGAGATGACCCTAACAATGTTTATAAACATAAATTAGTCCGATTTTTCAGGCAGGAAAAGACATTTATTACTTACATGCGCAACTTACCTCATCCGACCTTTTTAATATAACTAATATTACATGAATAGTTTACTAGAAGAAAACAACGAACTTTGATTGCTTCATCTTTTGTATGGAATTCTCAAGTCGATCTAAGTGATAGTATGCCAAAGCATTTATATTCACACTGACATACATGTAGTTCAAAATTAGTAAAAAAACACATTTGGTCCTGTTCTGAGGCTACGAATTTGGCTAAAAGAAAACCAAAAGTGGGTTGCATATTCTGGCATTAGAAGTGTAAATTCATCATAACTTAATACTTTTGGGTTTAAAAGATTTTCCCTTATTTAAATTTTAGAAATGAAAAAACGCCTCATCCCTTCCAAGGCTTTTTTTTGTTGCTTTTTTTTATGCAAATTCAGTAATCCAACATCCATGGCCTCCTATTACTCGTACAATATAGGAAAGAAAAACAAATGGCTCCATTCCAATAGGCTTCTACCACTATCCTTTATACATGATATCTTATACATTTTTAAAAAACATACAATTAATATACCACCTTCCTGATTTCCTGGTATAAATTCCTGCTTTAGCATCACTTTATGCATTCAGCTTGTTATGACAAGCGCATGTGATTATTTGTCTTATGTAAAAATAGAAATATGAAGGATTGTCATGTACTATAAAACAATTATTTAAATATTCTATCCTGAACATTAGTTCTACCACAGAATTTGGATGAGAATTTCTTTTATAATGTCATAGCATTTTTTTTTAATATGTCAAACATATATATGTTGCGTCCTCCCTTGAAAGCGACACACTATATTGCCTAAATACAAGAGTTGTTGCACTGTCATTCGGGTTTAGTGTTAAATAAATTAGAGTACTCACATTATGGACAAAGGCAGACGAAGTAGTTAGACCATTAAACCATATTAGAATAGGAACCTAGAAAATAGGTACTCTCAAAATGAAATTAATAGATAATTTAATCTATAGGAAGATAAATATCTTATACATCCAAAAAATTAAATGAGTTGGAAAAAAAGACTACATACCGGTAGCTTAGATTTTAAACTTTGATATTTAGGTAGAAGTCATACTAGAAATAATGTAACTATTGATAAAAATTTGAAAGAAAATATTGTAAAAATTAATAAAATGGGAGATAGAATTATAGTTTTAACGATTATTCTTGATATTAATATTTTTAATTTTACAAGTGTATATGCTCGCCAAATAGATTTGGATATATGTATAAAAAAAAATTGGAATAACCTAGAAGAGTTAATACAAATGTTACTCTTCAAAAAAAAATTATTAGAGTAGATTTAAATAACATGTATTAACAGTGATAGAATATTTTAGAAAAATTCATGTGCATATAATTTTGAAGTGACTAATGAGGAAGTTAGAGACATTGAATTTTATTTTAGCTTACGATCATATTATTATTGTTACTTTATTTACAGAAAGAGATGAGTATACAATCACTTATAAAAATTGATCTAATAAAATATACATTGATAATTTTCTTTTGAGAAGAATAGAACGTCGAGATTATAATTATTGTAAGTTTATTCCAAGTGAAAATTTAAATGCCAAAAATCGATTATTAATTTTAGATTTTAAGATGAAAGGTAAGAAGATGAAAAATACAATGAAATATTATCATATAATTAGATAGGAACACTTAAAAGATATAAATAGAATTAATCTTTTGAGTAAACTTCAAGCTCTTAAGATTTGTGATTTTCATGAATAAGCAAATAATATGTGGGATAAAATAACAAACACTAATAAGCAAATTGCAAAGCATGTGCTTAGAGAATCAAAAGAAAAAACTCTTATGAATAAAATAACTGATGGTGGTATAACAATGTTCAAGAAAATTAAAAAAAGAAATTATATTATAAAAATTGGTTTAGATATAAAAGTGGAGACTTAGGAAAAATATAAAGTGACACGTATGGAGTTTAAGAGTATAATTTGTGATGTTAAAAAATCTAAAAATCTACATTTAATGATCTTTATAGTATATTAGATGCTAAAGAGGGTGAAAGATCTGTTTAAAAACTTACAAAGCAAATAGATAAAAAAAATAAAAATTTTGTTCAAGTTAAATGTGACAAGAATAAAAATCAAAAATATTTTTTTAGATGAGAATATTCAACATAAGATATTTTGATAAACTTTTTTTATGAAGATAGTGAAAATACAATCGAATTTAGTAATCTTAATATCATAAATAGTCACACAAAATTTTATTTTCACCATCACATTAATAAAACAACAGTTGATGATGTTTTAAAGAAAATGAAATGTAGAAAAGCACTAGGACCTGATAGTATTTTAATAAAAGTGTGAAAATATTTAGGAGATCTTAGAATTTTTTAATTTACTAAACTTTTTAATATTATTTTAAAAACTAAAAAGATATCTAATGAGTGAAGGAGTCTATTGGTTCCTGTTTTTAAGAATAAAGGGGGTGCACATGAGTGTGCAAATTACTGAGGAATTAAGTTAATGTCATACATTAAAATTATGTGAGAGAATAATTGAACATAATTTATGATGTGATATAAATTTTTTTCAAAATTAGTTCGGATTCATGTTGGGCAAGTTTACTATAGAGGTTATGCATATATTGAGAGGTTTGATGAAGAAGTATAGAGAGCATAAAGAGGATATATATATATATTGTTTATTTAGACAAAGCTTACGGCAAGGTTAAAAAATAAATACTTTAGACAGTACTAGAAAAAAATGTGTTTACATTGCTCATATTCAAGTCATTAAATATATATATATTATAGTTGCTATTTATATTCGAACAAAAAAAGGATTAGCCAAGTATTTTCCTATTTCAGTTGGATTACATCAGGGATCAGCTTTAAGCCAAAATTTTTTTGTTTTAGTTATGGTTGTTTTTTCCTTGGACATTTACAAGAGGATGTGCATTGGTGTTATGTTTTGCTGATAATATACTCTTGTGGATTAGAGTTTAGGAAAAACTTGATTTATGGATGTCAATTTTAGAATTAAAGACTTTCGTTTGAGTAGATCTAAAGCTGAATACATTAAATATAATTTTAGTAATAGCAGATCTAGTGGCAAGGTTATAACAATTGGTAATTAAGTCAATAAAATGAGTGAAAGTTTTAAATATCTCGGGCCAATTATTAAAAGTGATAATAATATAGATGGTGATGTTACAAATATAATGCAAGTACAATGGTTGGAGTGGGGGAATACATCGGGCCTATTATGTGATAGAAAAGTACTACTAAGATGGTGTTGAGACCTACAATGTTTTATGGTGCAGAATGTTGGCCTGTTAAAAAGAAGCATAAAATTATGAAAAGTGTTGTTCAGATAAGAACACTCAGGTGGATGAGTGGCTTTACAGTTGGAGGTAAAATGTGAAATGAATATATCTGTAAAAGGTTGGACTAGCTCCAGTGACAGACAAGATTATAGAGAGTCGCCTAAGATGATTTGGTCACGTTAAACGTCAACTATCTGATCACCCTACTAGGATAGTGAATGTTTTAAATTTGACTTACGTTAACAAAGGTAGAGGTAGACCTAAAAAGACTCGAGTATATTGTATAAAAAGTTATCTTAATTTCTTATATTTAAATGAAAAAATGACACTCAATAGGACGCAATAGAGAAAAAATATTCATGTAGTTGATCCCACTTAGTGAGACAAAAATTTGTTCTTATTGTTGTTGTTGTTGTATGTCGAACATATAAAAGATTTGAGACAATAATGTGATTATTTAACATCTTAGCGTTGTACGAAAATCTAACTCACGCTCGGGTAATTAAACAGTAGCAGAAAGAAACAACATAATTTTTTATGTGGAAAACCTAAAAAGAAAAAAACTATAGGGCTCAGACCATTTGAAACAATCCATTGCGTAATATTAAGTACAAAAACTTACTCTTCTCATTAGTTAGAGAAGATGAAATCACAAAATTGATGTACCATAGTATTTCAATAATAATAGTTGAAATAGGTCACTAACCGTAGTCGACTGTTGTGGAGGCAGTAGCCCGTCATGATGTAGTGGGTGGTTGTTATATCATCAATTTGTCGTAGAGGTCATAGTTGAAAGTCATTATAGGAGTTGATCACATAGGCTGTAGATGGTCACTTCACAAGAGTTGGTTGGCCACAGCTTTAGTAGAAAGCTTCAAAAGTTGTGAACCACATTTACCTTAGTTGGTCACATAGGTCGTAATGGTGAGCTGCAATAACGTGTAGACCGCACAGCCCGGAGTTAAAGAACTAAGTGAGTTGTGGACCCATAGGCCGTAGTTGGTCACATAGACCGTAGTTGGAAGATGTAATGTCTGCATGATGCAGAGGTTGAAGTTGGGAGTTGCATGAACTATGATAACATCTGTAGAATTGGATATTTGAGTGTCTTATTAATGTTAGAGAGAGACCTCCCTGTAAAAAAGAAAGAAATATAGACCACTCCATCGGACAGCCAGAAGAGATTCTCCCATTTTGTGGATTTTTTAGTGTCTTACCAATGTCAGAATTGAGTGATCATAGGTTTGTTAAATTTGTTTTGTCAAAACCTCATCACTTATCAGATTTGCAATTCCTTTGACCTTCCAATTAACAACCAAAGCTTCCAAAAAAATGGTTTAACAGCTTGATTTGGGTTTGATTTGATTTAAATTTGACCAACTTTGATGTCATTTAGTCTGTCACATCAAGCCGATCAGTTTGACTATAAGTTTGTTGAAATCAGAGTTATGGATAAATTTTAATTAAATTTTAAAAGTTTGTTGCTCAAAAAATTAGCTTGAGATTCATGTAGGATGATTAAAATTTGTTGATAGCATATCAACATGTAAGGAAAATTATTTTGGAACCATATCACGTGTTTCATTGTATAAAGAAAATTATGTAGCAAAACTTACCGCTTATTAATTATAGGCCTTAGCACATTGATGGAATAGTTTCCCTTACTAAGAATGATCTCAACAAGTTATCAAATCAACTTAATAAAAAAAGTAGCATTGATTAACAAACAATTAAAATCTTTATGGTTATTAAGATGTGACGGCTATTGCCAAAAAATGTTAGAACACTACCAATAAATAAAAACATGAGGAAATAGCAAATGCTTAAACAGTTAGGTAATTTTAAGTATTAGATTTTGGCACATGTCAAATGTAGAACAACTTGGAAGCTATAATGTGCATACCATGAACTTTTCCAAGGTTGAAACTGGTACTGATAGCCTTAGACCCTTAACAACAACAGGCAAGATACGGCAAATAAGGCCATCTATTGCCTGTCTTATTTCTAATGATTGGCCATCGCCCATGGTAACCTTCCTCGGATACTCCTTTCCATTAACAAGAATAAAATTTTCATAGGAGCTTTCATCTTGTCCATATATATAGGCCAGAGAAGAACAAGTTATCCATCCAAACAGTGCCATCCACATTGATGCAAATGGTGATAGCTGCAAAATGAAATGCCATTTAACATTTTATATAACACAGTTCAAAATAATTTTAAACAAAACATTGCAAACAATAGCATACGTTTAGACAGAAACCTTCCGGTGGTGTATCATGCCAAGAGTCCTCAACATCAAACACATCAGTGTCTAAAAGCACAGTTTTCTTAGGCCATTTTACAATACCTCGATCAAATTCAAAAATATCCTCATCCTTTTCCCTTTCTCCATGGAGAGATTCTGATTGTGGTAAGATCAAAACTCCAGCTTCTGAAACTATAAGAGATGGATATAATCACAATAAATCAACTATGACTTGCTGGCTTCCTCTCTTTTATACTCAACTAATTATTAGAAGTTATAACCAGAAAATATTAGACAGGAGATATGGTTTACCTGCATCTCCAACTTTAGCTTTTCCAGAGGCAACAGATTCAGCAGCCTGGGCTAGTGCAGCAGCACAAACCTCAGCTGATGCAAAACGCATAGAGCTATCAAAATATTCTTCAAATGATTCTTGAGGTGTGGTCATTTTATCCTCAAAAGAAACAGTTTTTTTCTCATCAGCGCATTTAACGGAGTGGTCTCCGACTCTAGATCCCGAAGTCTTTAAGCAAGACTTGAGCAATTTCTCCTCTGATATTGTCTTCTTCTCTGAGGAAATTTTATCTTCAAGTTCTAAAACAGCAGGTTCGTTTGATGGAGCCTTCTTTTCTGAGAATTCTCCATGATTAGATACATTAAAGGCAGTTTTGTCTGATTCTACTCCAGAGCAAACATTGACCAATCCTCCATTAATATCCTTTGAAAGAACCTTTTCATTTGTTGAAGCTTCTGATGTTTTATGATGTTTAACTCTAAATGGCTTTGATATGTCTGCCTTTTTTCTGGTTTTTTTCTCTTCAAGGACAGCATTTTCCAAATGTTTAGCTAACACTTCCGAAATAGCCTGTGCTTTTAGAGATAAAGCATTATTATCACCAAATTCATTCTCAATAATTAGACTGCTTGTAAAATTCATATTACTACACTCATAATCATCTAAATTATTTTTCAATTTAGCTTCGGATGTGCTTGATGTATATTTCTTTGGCTTTGCTTTCTTGGCAGTGGTGTTTGCATCTTTTCTTTTATCTAGCATCGGTTTAACATCAAAAGAATCTTTTGAACGAATTTCATCAGTCTCATTAGCCACAAGCAGGCTACTAGCAAATGGTGCTCCAATATCTCTAGCACCCTCAAACCACTTCCTAGAATGTTGTTGAAGTACAAAGTCTGACCCTACAATATTTAAAAAAAAAACGAGGATCTCATCATCGTAATCATGTGCAAAGGATGAAAGGAAACAATACAAATGCCAAAATAAGAAAAAAAAAATTGATGCCAAACATGCCCTAACATGTATCCATGCAGCAATATAACAAGAAACCTTTACTTCAAAGTTACTAAGATAAACAAAGCAAATAACTCAAATTATCTACATCAATTCCTAAAATATTTTCCTTCGTCAAGCTATATAAACCACTTAGGATTTATAAACAGCTTCTAAAAATGATTTTTCACATGTATTCAAGAGACAAGAAAGAAAGCATAAAGATAACCAAACTACCACCAAACATTTATGATTTAGCTAAAATAATTATTCCCCTAAAATAAGACCATAACATACATAACACTCAAATCTTAACTATCTAAAAAACACCAACCTATCTTCATTTTTCAAATCGCCCCCCGAATATCAAAATTCAGAGCAAAACCTCGACGTGTATAATTCAGTTTTTTAAATTCTGGATGCACAAATACAAGGTTCGATGGTTCAAAAAAAATGGGATGGCGTTAGTTTTGCAAATAGTTATGATTGACGGCATGCAGGAAATTCTGGGTAAAAAAAAAAACTTCATAAAAAATGACCAATGCAAATTTAGGAGTTGCTTAGTTGCACGTAGATTCTAATTTAAATAAAATTTAGTCAATCTTGTAACTCCGGATTTATCAAATCCTGAGATGGTTCAATAATGAAAATTATTTTGCATGTTAATAAGTAAATCGTGAGAAATTGTTTGATAGTTTTAGAATAATTTAGTAAAATTTACAAGGATTTATTAAACATCTAAAGAAAAAGATTAAATAAAAAAAAATAAAAATGAGTATCCAAAACCTCAAAGTGCATAAAAAATGAGTTAATTAATAATTAGTTAAATAAATTAATAAGTAATATTTTTTTTCTGTGAACTAATTAATTAGTAAATAATAATTTTACATTAATGAATTATTAATTATATAACTTAAGAATTACTTAGAATGTTATTAATTAAAATTTAAAATATATTTTTTATTCATTAATTAATTATTTAAGAATTACATATAAATTTCTTTAATTCTAATTAATATGATAATACATTAATTAATTGAATTAGCATTGTCGTTGCTGGCCTCAAGCCCGGATGTGAAAAATGGAGAGTTACGTTAGGTAATCGACAGTCAGCGTAAAACTTATCGAAAAAGTCATGACATAAATCATTTTGATCATTGTGTAAGTGATAGGGCGTCCTTGTAAACGACGCGTTGTATGGTTTGAATACAGTGAAGAGTGTTTAAGAGCCACTACACCAGCTTCCAGATGTAGTGTCAAATAAGCAATGATTTTCACATTACGGACGAATGCAGGTAAAGAAGTAAGTCCATGAAACTAATATTAGGATAAAATCTTGGCATATAGGTACTCTCATTGGTAAATTAATGAAATTAGTTGATGTTATAATTCTTGGAAAGATAAATATCTTATATGTTCAAGAAATTAAATGGGTTGGAGAAAAGACCAAGGAGATTGATAACTTAGGTTTTAAACTTTGGTATTCAAATAAGAGTCGCGCTAGAAATGGGTAGGTATACTTATAGATAAGAGTTTGAAAGATAATGTTGTAAAAACTAATATAGTTAGAGATAGAATAATAGTTCTTAAGATTATTGTTGATACTAAGATTTTTAATATTATAAGTGTTTATGCTCCTCAAGAAGGTTTAGATATAGGTTTTAAAGATAAATTTTGGAATGACATAAAAGACTTAATTGGAATGACATAAAAGACTTAAAGAATTTTTATTTGAGGAGATTTAAATGGACATGTCAATAGAGTGATAGAAGATTTTAAAAATATTCATGAATAGAGTGATAGAAGATTTTAGATTTTAAAAATATTCATGGTGGCTATGGTTTTGGAGTGATAAATGAAGGTAGAGCTATATTAGATTTTGTTTTACAATATAAGTTTATTATTGCTAATACTTATAAGAATGGGTCTAATAAACCACAAAATAATAATTTTCTTATGAGAAGAAGAGATCGTCGAGAATGTAATGATTGTAAAGTCATTACAAGTGAAGATTTAAGTACTCAACATCAATTATTAGATCTAGATTTTAAGATTAAGAATTGTAAAATAAAGAATACTAGAAATCATCGTCGTAGAATTAGATAGGGGAACCTACAAGATAAATAAAATTATTTTTATGAGTAAAATTCAAAATTTCAAAAAGTGGAATGTTCATGGAGAAGCAAATTCTATGTGGGATAAAGTAAATAAAATTATTAAACAAATGGCAAAAGTTGTACTTAAATATTCAAAAGAAAAAGTTTTCATAAATAAAAATAGTTTGTGGTGGAATAATAATGAGCAAGAAAATATAAAATATAAGAAGATATTTTATAAAAATTTGTTTAGATATAAAAACTTAGAGAATTGGGAAAAATATCAAACGGCCTGTGGGGAGTCTAAGAGAAAAATCTGTGATGCTAAAATTTATGTTTTTAGTGATCTTTATAATAGATTAGATACTAAGGAAAGTGAAAAATATATGTATAAACTAGCCAAACAAAGAGAAAAGAAAAGTAAAATTTTAACTCAAATAAAGTGTATTAAAAATGAAAATCAAAAAGTGTTTTTCTTAAAAAAAGTTATTCAAAATAAGTGAGTGAGTTATTTTGACAAACTTTTTAATGAAATTTCGAAAAATATGATCGACCTTAGTGATCTTAATATTGTTAATAATGATAAAATGTTTCATTTTTACCGCTGCATTAGTAAAAAAGAAGTTGATGCTTTAAATAAAGCCAATGGTGGAAAGTTTGTAGAACCTAATGATATCTCAATTGAAGTGTGAAAATTTTTAGGAGATTGTGAGTTTTTTGGCTTACTAAACTCTTTAATATTATTTTAAAAACTAAAAAGATGCCCGTGGAGGAAGAGTACTCTAATTCCCATCTTTAAGAATAAAGGGGATGCACAAGTATGTGTCAATTATAGAGGAATTAAACTGATGTATCATACTTTAAAATTGTGGGAGAGGGTAATTGAACATAGGTTAAGACGTATTACAAAGATTTCTCATAATCAATTTGGATTTATGTCGGGCAAGTCTAATATGAAAGTTATACATTTATTGAGAGGTTTGATGGAGAAATTCAGAGATAATAAAGAGCATCAACATATGATTTTTATTGATTTAGTTAGAAAAAACTTACAATAATGTTCCAAGAGATATCATTTGGAGAGTTCTTGAGAAGAAAGGTGTTGATATGACTTATATTCAAGTCATTAAAGATATGTATTCAAGAACTTTTACTTGTGTTCGAATAGGAGGGTTGACCAAATATTTTCCTATTTATGTTGATTTACATCAGGGATCGGCTTTAAGCCCATATCTTTTTAGTTTAGTAAAGGATGGTCTCTCTGGAAACTTACAGAAGGATATACCTTGGTGTATGTTTTTTGCTGATGATATCCATCTCGTGGATAAGACGAGAGAAAAAGCTCAGGAAAAAACTTGAATTATGGCGGTCTACCTTGGAGTCTAAAGGTCTTTATTTGAGCAAAACTAAAACTAAATACATGGAATGTAATTTTAGTAGTGGTAGCTCTAGTGACAAAGATGTAAATTTGGGTGATCAAATTACTAAAAGGAGTGAACGATTTAGATTTCCCGGGTCTACTGTTCAAAGTGATGGTGATATTGAAGGGAATGTTATTAGTAGAACTCAAGTCAGTTGGTTGAAATGAAGGAATGCTTCGGGCCTATTGTGTGATAGAAAAGTAACACTTAGACTGAAAGGAAAACTTTCTAAGATAGTGGTGAAACCCGCAATGTTATATGGCGCTGAATGTTGGCTTTTAAAAGACAAGCATAAAACTAAGTGTTGTTGAGATGAGTAATGATTAGGTGGACGAGTGGTTTTACACCTAGAGATAAAATGTGAAATGAATATATCTGTGATAGGGTTGGTGTAGCTCCAGTGAATGACAAAATTAGAGAGAGTCGTTTTAGATAGTTTGGTCAAATTAAACGTCGACCATCTGATGATTCGATTAGGATAGTAGATGTTTTAGATTCGACTTATGTTAACAAAGGCAGAGGTAGACCTAGAATGGCTTGGGCATATTAAAAAATGATCTTAATTGTATAAAAAATGATCTTAATTTATTAAAATTAAATGAAAATATGGCATTAAATAAGACGCGATTGAGAAAAAGGATTCATGTAACCGACCCTACTTAATGGGATAAAGGTTTTGTTGTTGTTGTTGTTGTTGCATTAATCAATTAAATTAATAAAAGTAACTTAAATAAAATAAATTAAAACCACAAACATATCTCCCTCTTCCCCTTTCTATCTGAAACCCTCGTCTACACCCTCCCCCTCTCCCGATTTTGCCCAAACTTCCCATCTCTACCCAAAACCCTCGCTTATGTCACTCCCCCTCTCGCTTTCGACCAAAAAAATTGCCTTCGTAAACGAACCTTTGCGATACAATCGCCATTAAAGCTAGCTGGGAAGGCAACAATGGGATAATGACTTACAAAAACCAGCAAAACTCCCATCTTTCTCATCCTTTTGCTTTGCTCCTACCATAAACCATTAGGTAGGTAAGCTTGTTCGTGTGATTCTTCCTCTTTGCTCGTCCCAGATTTACTAAATTTGATGTTTCACAGGATTTAGTAAATTCCAAATTAATCACAAATAGACGTCATATTGGATTTACGGGGGCACAGGTTTTACGAAGGTGTTCTTTTTTTTAGTATGGAGCTCAAGAATTTACAGAGGCATTTTTTGTTGTTTGACGGCATTAAGCATAAATCCTGCTTAAAATTGGCTACTAAATAGCCCTTTAGGTAGGGTTGTAAATGAACCAATGCACTTGATGAATAACTCGAACTCGATTAAGACTTAACATGTTTGTTTAAATTAATAAATAAACAAGCTTAAATATTTTTTAAAAGTTTGAAGTTTAAATGAAATAAACATGAATATAGTCGAACTGATTCAATTATATTCAGGAACAAACTCATTTGTTGTTCAAAAAGTAACTTGTTAAATATTCGATATTAAGCTCGATCATAGCTCGTATCATGTATAATATATTATTAAATAATTTAATTAGTTGTAATCTATTTAATTATATATTTAATATTAATATATTATTATATCAATCAAAGAAAAATTTTACATTACGACTTATATATCAATCAAAGAAAAATTTTACATTACGACTTATCTGATTGTACAAGTTCTTTCAATTTTATTTTGCTCTTGTTCACATGTTTCTTCTTAATCTTAGAATTCATTTTTGTGAGAATATATCTATCATAGACACTAGATGACATCATGTGGGTTAATTCATTTAATTATTTGATTTGTTAAATTATTCATTTATTTAGATATGTAAAATTATTTATTAAAATTTATATCTGAAAAGCTAGATACTCATTTGAATTTTTAGCTTGTTTAAATATATGTTCAGCTGTCATAAACAAATCAAGTTCATGTAATGAAAAATATAAATAGGTCAAGGTTAAATAACATATGGAAGTTCCACAAAAGTTCAAGCCGAACATAAACAACTTATAATTGTATCAAGTCCAGTCCAATCTATGGGATACCCAGCTCAACTCAACTCAATTACAGATTAAAAACAAGTCACCCATAATATAAAAGAAAAGGACAAGAAAAAAGAGATGGACGGGTGAAGAAATGGGAAAAAATGGAATTAAAAACAACTCGAAATCTTACCAGAATCTCCAATCCTATCGCGCTTGGGCACAAATCCCTCGATCGCATTTGATGGCCCAATCCACTCATCCAGAGATACTTCCCCTGCCCCTGCATCCCCTTTCTCCTTAATGCTCAAACTTTTAATCCCCAAATCTCCTTTATCCCCTAATTCCTCGCCTACAACATTCCGGTTCCCAAATAACCGGAGGACTTGCTCGATTTTTCCTTCTTTCATATCAGACACACGTTCAGCGCTGAGGCTGTTATAGAATGCCCGGCTGCGGACCACGCAAGCTTCGGAGCAGTATTTATAGGTCTCCTCAAGGTCGTAGACACGGTGCTCGCGAAGAGAGATGCGGAATCGGCCATGGCGGTCGCGGTCCACGGGAAGACGGTTTGGGCAAGGAGGGTAGCCACAGAGGCCGACGATGGAGCGCTCAACAACGACGTCCTGATAGTCGGGGCACGATAGGAGTGAGCCAGCGGAGAGGAGCTGCCCGGCGGAGCATGAATGGCATTCAATGAGGGAATACTGGATGTGGTAAACGGCCTCCGCAATGGAAATCGGAAAAGGCAACGTGTTCGCAGCCATTACGGCGATCGCGATGTTGGAATGCAGCACCGCGATTCCAGGAGAGATGGGATAGGTTATAACTTATAATATAGGGTTTGCCCTTTCGATGCACCAGGTTTTGAGATGCTTCTTGTGAAATGATTCGGATTTAATGTGCTTCTCAAACTAATAATATGATGTTTAAAAAATTTTCATAGTTTTTTTCTTTTTTTATTTTTTTTTTGAGAAAATTAGATCGCAGCTAGAAAGTTATCGTCGCACATAACTAGAACCAGCGGGAAAATATGGATTTCAACTGCAATATTTTGAAAAAGCTATCAAAATGTAATTTAACTAAACAGACAAAATTGTGGAACTGTTGCCGCCCCGAACAAACTCTTAATAGGGCTCGAAAGCAGATAATTAGAAATAAAACGAAGAATTTTGAAGGACCAAAAAGGAGTGCTCATTCGGCGGTCTAAAAATTAAAGGGCCACTCACCAAAAAATTTTAATAGGGCTTTTACTTAACTCTTTTTCATTTATTTGTTTAACACATAAATATTGATATTTATTTGTATACCATAATTTTTTTGTGTTGCACATTCTATCATCTCCATCACGCACCGTCCAAATCCCTTGTCTCCCACTCGAGGAGAAAAAATCATCATACACGAAAGGGGGGAAACATGTTGTAGCCTCTTATTCTCCTTTAGGTTTGGCTCGGCAGGGGCAAGGTCCTTGCACAAATGAGAAGTGCTCTGCCGCCTCTTCTTCTCCTTATGGTTTGGCTCAGCAGGGCAGGATCATCGCATTATGCAAAGATCTTCAAACTTTTGAATTTAGAAAATTTGAAGCTTTGCACTCATATCTAGGTGTTAATATGGCTGGAAACAAACAGGCTACATGTGAGTGGGTTGCTAGTGAGATTCAAGATATTGTTAAGGAACAACCAAACATCCCATAGAAACAAATAGAAAATAGCTTAGAGCAAGCATATGAACTATCTTTACCATATATGAAACTATGAAGATCAAAAAAGTTAACTCGTTGTCAATTTTTTGGCTCTGTACTAGAATTATAAGTGGGTGTCTGTATAAAAGTAGTAATTGCTTGTTAGGAATCTTGGATCTTAACCTGACTCGTAATCACGCAGTTATTTAGTTTTCAAAAGATAGCCAAAAGCTTGACCTAATATATCTTAGCGGCTAGTGTACAAAATGATATGTTATACAATTTTAGAATTTGATGTGCACACTAGGGGTACTATACAAGTATACGTATCATTTCAAATAATATAGAGTTTTCTTTAAAAACCTCAATATCGATCTCATAGAGAAACAGTAACTTTATATAATGACTTATAAAATTCCTACTTAAAACAATAGATATTTATCTAGGAAAAAAGAAGTAATTACTACCAAAAAGTGTAGTTTAAAAACTAAAGTAAAAATGCTAAGTGTTTCTAAGACAGTTAAGTCTAGAAGAGTTTCGAATTATATGAAGAATATTTCTCCTTGCAATGAGTTTATAATCAGTGTAGGAATCAAATGTTTAAAGGTTAAATGTAGTTTTGCGTCAAATAGAAGCATACATATCATTTATTTTATTCCGAATGCATAAAGAACATTGGCTAATCTAAAGTTAAGTTCCTAATTGATATGGTTATGCTGGGTAGATTTTAGTCTCTCACTTTCAGATTACTTATTGTGTCATCTCTATAGAAATAATCAGGCCTTAGGTTTCGAACAAAAGACCAAATTGATAAAGATTCTAGCCAATCACACTATAATGTCATTTGGTCTTTTGAATGTCATTAGACATTACTGGTTCTGGACATTTGATAAAGCTTTTTATTATCTACTATTTCTTCTAACAACAATAATGACTTGTTTTATACAACACTTGAAATTGTCGAAGGTAATAAAAAAGAACTTAACAATGATTCTTTTTGCAATTAACAATGGCATTTGTTGTTGATATTACTCTTTTAGCTTTTATGTTTAACATAGAGAAAGGTTTGGGATAAGCTATTTGAAATATTTTTCTTAGTGTTGAACATGGAGTATGCTCGTCACTTGTGAAAAAGATTAAGAAGCAAAATTCAGAGCATTGTGTGGTTAGTTGCAAATGCTTATACAAGATATGAGTTTCAAGTTAAACTGAATGAGTTATTGAATCTCAGTCCACTCTTGCATTCTTATATAATCAATTTCCATATAAAAGATCTACATGTCAATTTTTGTCTTTGATAAAAAATCATTACAACACAATTTTTTTTTTTAAAGTGAAATATATTTTCACACATATTTATGACACTAAGATGTTACACTTGTAAATATCCAAATTTAGGTGTTTGATATGCAAATACGTAAGAATCTTGTGATTTGTATGCAAATTTCTCATCTCTTTAGCTCTCATTCCAACGACTTATAAAATAAAGATGGGAGAATTCCGTTTCGTAGTTTCTTTGGAATAATAAATCATCTTTCATAAATACTTGACTTGTACTTAGAAACCCTATCCCCACAATTAAAAGAAAACTTATTGGATTTAAATTCTACGAAAAAGAGTTCAATTGAGCATTAGAATATGATCTAGCGCATCATTTAGATCAAGCAAATGAAGTTAATTTTTTTTTTTTAATTAGAGCCCAAGTAGCGCCTAAGAAAGTGTCCAATCAATATCCATCACAATAGTCCAATGAAAAAAAAAATAGATTAAAAAAGCTTTGAATTTTTTAAATTGAAAACTTTTATAGGTTGGTTATAATAAGAAAATAATTTAGAAAGGTTGTTGGCACATTTATCCCTTAATGACCACTTAACATTCCTTCCAAAGAATTTATCATCCTTTCATCTAAATTTTGCTTAATGTAAGGTATATAAATAGGGCCAGTGTATGATAATTATTTTCATCTATTGAGTGAAGTAATTTGAGTAAACCTTACTTTATTTAGCTCAATGCTTGTTGTCTTCAAGTGTATGCATTTTTTGGGTGAAAATATTTATTTATCCTTTTTTTTTCCTTTAAGTTATTTATTATATCTTCTTAACGTCAGTTCTATGCTCTTCACCACTCTTCCTTCACATCCCACAAATCTTCGAAGGTTAACAAACAAATAGCAAAAGCCTCTCAACCCTTCCAAATACCTCCTCATAGCTCTCAACCAGAGTTAAATAATATTAGTTCTACTTATGTTCCATGCTCAACACTCATGTAAACCCATCCAAATCTTTCCATCCACTCAAGATCACAAGTAGGCATCCTGCATTTATCATTCATAAGTATTTTCAAACCATTTACCTAACCTTAAATTGTTTTCTTAAAGAGATATTCAAAATCAGTCCAAACTTGCCCAATCTGGACTAATCGGGTCATTTTTATTACTATTAACCCTCTAATCCTTCATTAATCCACTACAAACTCTTTTGTGTATGTACGTATATGTATATATATTAAAATAAAAATTCAAAGCCTTTCACGTTAGGGTCCATTTGGGGCAACAGTGCGACACTACACTGCAATTTTGTCTGTTTGGGAAAACTACGTTTTGATAGCTTTTTCAAAAAACAGCTGCCGAAATCTGTGCTTTTTCATTGGTCCTTGCTAGCTACAGTGACAATTTTCTAGTTGCGGTCAGATTTTAAAATATATATATGTAAAAGCTACTGCAGTTTTTTGAACATCAAAATTTTTTTTTCAGTAGCTTCACAACTGCTTTTTGATAAGCTTCAGCTTCCCCAAACAAACCCTTAATCTCATCAAAAGACCACCAACCCATATCAATAAAAATTTCAAAAGTAGTTGAGTGTTCACTTAAGCTTTTGTCTAATACTATATATCGCTAATTTATTTGTTTAATGCATTTTTCATTTACAATAACTTTATTTTCATCACAATTATTGACCATCAAATGCTTTTGTTTTTGTTATATTTTTATCCAACAAAAGATTTAACATATTCTCGTGTTCATATAAGCGAACAAAATAAGTATTTCTAACAAATGTGCAAATATGTATTCATAAATATATGTATGTACATTTCTATCTGACCTCAATTAAATACATATTTTTTATGTATTTAATTGAAATAAAAAAAAAGTCTTTTATCATCTAACATAAACTAATATCTCTATCAAAACTTTTTTTAAAATGAAATACATATTTTTTATGCACAGATTTAAGCCACCAAAATATTATAAGTGTAAATATAAATTTTAAGGGTTAGATATGTAGTACACAAGAATTGTGTAGTATATATAAATGTAAATTTCCCAAAGTACTATTTTAGCTGGCAGGGACATCAATACCCAAATCACACTTGTGCAAGCAAGCATATTTCAGGTTATAAAAAAAAATACAGAAATTTTTACATGAGGTGTCCAATAACAGGGGTCACGCGACAATTTGGGCGCAGTGACATAAACGGTTCGAGCCCGGGTTGCCATGTGGCACCTTGTTATTTGACACCTGATGCAAATTTACATCAGGTGTCTTGATGCAATAAATTTTCAAAAAAAAAAAAAGTGTTAAGTTGTGGAGTTAATTTTAAAAAAAAAAATGCTGTACAGATATTAATATATAATTTCGGATCCAATTTCAGCATATGATTATTGTGGGAGTTGAGAGGATGTGTAATATTTTTGTTATTTTATTAAACATATTTCAAAAAATTAATTATATTTTTCAACTGTCATGAAAAGGGAAAATATTCTTTTTGTTATAATAAATAAATTAGAGATAAAAGTTTTCACAGTTAGATCATAATCATAAAGACAGCAAATATAATGTGACCATCAATCATTGTGCGATAAGTATAAGAATAGGTGCTATGTATGTAAATTCCCCTTTATTTTGTTAGGAAAAATAAAAAGAGGGGGCAAACGTATATGCGAACAATCAATCAAGAGTGCTTGCATAGCTGTGGTCATGAATTTTAAGTTTAAATCCTAATTCATTTTGATTTAATTTAGAATTCGACTTATTTAACCGAATTTAAAATTTACGTGATTCATTAATATAAAACGTTATTGGCTCCCCGCAGCTCTTTACAGCCATCAGTCGATGCAGTTGGTCACTGCGACATTGCTGCCAACACTCACAGCTAGGCAACGCTACTGCAGCTACCCGCCGCCAATCGTCGCTGCCCACCTGCTTGTCACGGACAAATAATCCCACATCGGCTAGGTGTAGGGCCGAAAAATAGTATTTAAGTTCTAGGCTGCCCACCTTTCTTAAGGGCTCTTTTGGGAGGTGACAAATGGTATCAAAGCAGATTACTGCCTGCCAGGTGTGTGGACTCTCCATGGTCCAGTGGGACCCTCGGTAGAGCCGATCTGTGACGAGGGCGTCACGTGATTGGGTGGAGTAGAATGTCACAGACAAATAGTCCCACATCGACTAGATGTAGGGCCGAAAAACAATATTTAAGTCCTGGGCTGCCCACTACCCATAAGAGCTCTTTTGGGAGGTGACATGCTGCTCACCACCGTCGTCATCGCCATCATTCGCCATTGTCTAATGTCACCCTCCACACGCTAATATATTTTGAAATATAATTTTTTCAATCTACTTCGAATGAAATGAATATATATATATATATATACATGTATATGTATATATATACATGTATATGTATATATGTATATGCATACAGATGAATCAAAGTCATTAGAAAGATGCGATATGTCAAGGGAATAAAAATCTATTATAGTAACTAAGCAATCGGCCAGTCTTGTATGATTTCTACTGATAGAGAGGTGATTCTAATTGTGATATTTTAATGCAATATTAAAGGTTTTGATGGTATAAATGTTTTAGATATGCAAATAAATAAGAATTGGGTGGTATGCATGTGAATACCCCAAATTACAAATAACTACCCATTTCTTGCGGTAATATTTTCTATTTGAGGAATGCTAATACAGGATTATTATCTATTAAAAGTAAAATTATCTTCCCTAGCTACGATTAACACAAAAGCTAATCATGCTAATTGCAATTACACTCAGCAATCAGATATATTTTGTTAAATGCGCAGTGAAACAACTATGATTAACATTGTTATTTTGTTTAAGAAAACATTGCCATTTAAACAAAGCTAGACTGACTAATCTAATGGAAGACATACCACAGAATTCTTATGAATTTATACATCTTAACACCCAAACTTTATACTTTGCATATAAGCCTCTTTACATTTAAATAAAAGAGGGCATTTCACTTTGGACGGTAGAAATATAAGAAGTAAAGTTCAGACGTCAGATATGTAAATGCATAAGAATTAGGTGGTATGTATGTAAATGTCCTCAGTCAGTATTAAAGGCAAAAACAGCATTTCAAACTGCATTTTTTTCAGGTCTCGAGGGGTAATATAAACAGAAATTTATCAGATCTTTTAAATAAGAGAAGTGGGATATTACATAACAATAATTTACAAAAAAAATTATAGAAAGGCAGCAATTCATGGAACACTTGATAAAAAGGTGAATATATTACACAAAAATACACACCAAATCCTAATTTATGCTACTTAAATACTACCTACTAATAAAGTGATATATCACCATAGCAGCAAGGAAAAAAAGACC